AATGTCATTCCTACTCACAAATTATGAAATAACATCGGCCAGTCGATTAGCCTACTCTTCCTCTCTGACCGACTATCACTAAAGATTTTGATTTGATCTTAGCCTATATGTAGTTTTATTCCAATTTTTTGGTGGAAAGAAAAATACACAAATGCAATACTGTGTTTTGTTGTTATTTCGATTATTATAATTCTTCACAATAACTGTAGATTGTTTTCAAATTATTTCGCATTTCAAACTGTACATTAAAATGTGGCAAATGAAAGCCCAAAACTGTCTGCATTAGAGGATCACAGCTATAGTGACATATGCCCAATCCCTTCTTTTCCTTTCGATAAAGAAAGTACTTTCGTGACAGCAGTTAAACGAATGAAATAAAATAAAAAAGACGTTTTAAGATAAGGTCAAATAAATAAATAATTATAAAATAATAATTAGCCTATAATTAGTCTATAATGTTTTATTTCTTATTTTAGTAATACACATGTACCATTTAGTTATGACATTGTATCTTCCAGAATGAAGAGAAAATAAGGCACATCGCTTTTTTTCCCCTTTTTTTGGGAAGAAGCCAGAGCTCTGGCCTACAATTTCACGCTGTCAGACATGAGCTTAGCGCTTTGAAGGTTTGTTTCTCTAATTAATGATAATTCAGCAGTATGTGTCTGTTACATATATTCAATATAGGCTATTATATTGTCTTTCTTCAAAATGAGCAGATATATTTCATTTCATCATAATAGCTACGTAATTTTTCTTTGAAATAATTTATCTTTTAATATTCACAATTCTCATTAATTTTATTCAGTTAAATTATATTGTATTCTGTGTTTTATTTTATTTGTTCGTGATGTTAAAATTCCCGAATTATTTAAATATTTAACTGGGTGATCAAACATGCGCGCACTTTTTTTTCATAATGATGTTTCAGTTAGATAATTAATTTGTTTTTATTTTTTGTTGAATACAATTTTCCTTAATGATAACGTGTTAAGTCATAATGATATTTTTTTGAATATTTAAATACTATCGTTATATCAGCATTATTACACAACAACATTAACTGCCAAATATAATTATAAATGATCGGTTTAAAACGTTTTACGTTTTATTCATAAATTTCTTTTAACGAAACCTTTTAGTAAACTAAATAAAGCTGCAACTTATGTCTACGTTATAAGTCAGAATTGGGAGGGCTTACAAAGTAGGGTGAAAATCCGTTTGAAGACTAGCCTACACTGAATCTTTTTAAGCATACCGTTAACAGCAGGGTCTACATTGTTTATTTCAGCAAAAAGAATAATTTGAATTAATGTCTTATGAATAAATTAAATTACATTTTCGCGTTGTGATTTCAACAGGTAGGCGATCAGTTTACGATATCAGTACCCTATGCTTCTCCTAAAAAAATAAGAATAAATCAATAATCAAGGACAATAGCCCAATTACTCACCATTAGCCCTTTTACCATACTGACTAAGCGCGACACCTGCTGGTGACAAAACACTCCCCCATACGTCACTGTCAAGCATGTAAGTGTGGGATCTAATCTTTATGGTTGTGCTGATTCCAGTTATGTTATGTATACATCTTTTGTAGACGCTTGTGTTTCTATAGACATATACGAATTTGAGATGTGCGTTTGGCGCAATGGTAGATGTTCTTGGCTTGACTGTGGCTCTTTCATCTCGACTCCAGTGCACAAACATATAGCTTAATGCGACCAGTGTTCCCTCTTTTATTCCACTCACCATAGCAACCGAGAGGAAGGCTTCAGAAATGCTTTGCCCATGAATGAAACAAACGGTCTTAGTGGGGCTGCGAGAAAGAGAGATGGCATCTTCGACCGGGAGGGCACGCAAAGTTAACCCAAGAAATATCGCGGGGAGAGGTTTTCGTTTTGTTACATATTTTAAAATATTAATCTTAAGTATTTTACAATTTAATTCTAATTCAATCTAAATTTAGTTTTTTAGCATTTTAGTCACATCAAATGTTTATAATTTAAGCTGCTTCAGTCTCGTTTAACCAATAGCCTAATCAATAATCAAAATTAGCCAATAATCATACCTTGCGCCGATCATTTATTTTCGCATATTTTCATTGCCATTGGTCATTATCAGCTAGTGTCTGCTCAGTGGCCACTCGTGTGTTCGGTAACAACTAAAATCCTTTGCTTTGCAGTCATTCACACACCGTATCGCGTTATGCATCGCGCGCTCCATAACAAGTCAGTGCCGCTGACCAAGTTTCATCAAACTTTGGCACAGAAGTAAAAGATCGATTTATGTAAACGACCTGATATCCACTTGTACCCGACTCCACCGAGAATTCCACCGAGGGTCTCCTGTTTGAATTTGATTGATTGCACATTCTCCACTGGACATTCACTACAAAACAGCAGCTTAACCGTCTGCTCGCTATTTATAAAGCTAAACAGTCTTATTGATTTTTACACGAAAAAAAGGACTTCGCAACCACACAGACACACACAAACACACACACACACACACATAAATGTATGTGTGTATATATATATATATATATATATATATATATATATATATATATATACATATACATATATATATATATATATATATATATATGGGGTAGGAATTAGTAGCCTATATAGATATTGTTCAGGTAGTATGCCTTGTAATAGGCTACAGTTTTATAATCTCGCCGAATACTGATTTATTTTCACTTACCGTTAGATTCCATGATAACTGGAAAAAATGTCTCAAATACTGCATTGTTCGTCCATCACTGACCGACTCTCTCCCTCCGTGTTTGGTCCTTCCTAAGATTTTCTTCCCTCTGACTCAACTGAGCGGAGCTCTCCTCTGCACCGCTATTATTTTCACTAAAATATATGAAAATTTATGCAAATGAAAATCAGCACTAACTGTTCGTCTCTTGTTATACTTGGGGATTTTTCCCTCTCTACTTGCACGGAAAACAAATGATCTCCCCAGCAGGGAACATGGGGACCTTGTTACATAAACAAATAAATAATAAACAGCCTACTTCTCAGATAAAAAAAAAAACCATTAAACTTCAAAAAAGTTAAAGGCTTGAACATTTGAAATTGCTTTGACTCCTTAGAGTGAGTGAATCTCTTTCCTTAGACTGGCTATCACGTTTCTTATGGCCGCACGAGACGTCCTTTGAAGGCGAGCAGTATGAAATGCAGTAATTTAGACCAAAATCTGCTGGAAATTAATGAATAGACAGCCCCATGGCGGTGGCCCTACTTTGCCATTCAATGTAAACAAATCCACGAGGTTCTCGGTTTTTGAGTCTGATCCAAATGAAATCTTCTGGGAAGGGGAGTGCGTAGTCCTCTCTTGGGTTTTCGACAAAACCTGATTCAGTGTTATTCTACCCAATACAACAATACTGAATTAAATAATATGAGCTTTTCTGTCACAATTGTTATAAAATAGTGCATTGGTTTACATGTGTTTACATGTGACTTTTTATGCACCTGATACTTATTATTCTAGCTGTAGTTCATAAACAAGGAGATCCTGTTTGGGGGGGGGGGGGGGGGGGGGGGGGGGGCATATACGTCAATCACTCTAAATTTTCTTTGGACTTGCACTTTTATTTATAGGCTACCTCTGGGTGAATCCATATGTTGTAGGGGTCTGATGGTAGCCTATGTCTAAACAATTCAGCGCGAGATTTGAAAAGGAATGTTGTATTTGGCCTATCGCTAGTTGATCTTGGTAGTTAAATCAGAAGACATTTCTTGCAGATTCCCCCAAAGGATTGCTCAGTTTGCATTGCCACTCGTTTTGGTTGCCACTTTCTCCCCATGCCTTTCTTCTGTTTAGCTGCATTGCACTCTCTGTTTCCGCTTGGAAGCATCGCATAGTCATCTCGTTAACTCTTGAGAGGCCGAGGTCTCAGAAAAATGTAGTCAATGTGATGCAATTGGGTTATTACGTCGAAATATTTATTTTATCTTGCTTGGTTGAGTTCAAAAATTGTACCAGACAAGCTGGAAGAGAAATTATATTTTAGGACTCATTTTGTCAATAAGAGTGAGATAGCAAACAGAGATTCCATGCAGCCAATGTGTTTTCAGTGCATTTCAAAATTCCCATTTCGAAATTTCAATAAAAAAAAACAAGATCAATTGTATTTGTTAGATTTGTTCATCACTCTAACTAAATTCAACCTACGGCTAATAGAACGGTTTTTTTTTTCTTTTCTTTTTTTTTTTCTTATTTTATTTATTGCCCTGAGAAATAGCCCAGTCACGCTAGCTGTCTTGTCAATAATTCACCTAAATAATTCACCAAAACTATGGGAAACTTAAATTAGGATTTATTAATATATTCCCGCATTCTTTAGAGTTTTCAGTCATTTATCTTGATTTATTTATTTAAATTCAAAAGCAACCAATTGGAATAGCCGGAAGGGGGGTCTAAGTGCCCGAAGCGAGTTCTCTAGACCTGTCAATCTTGCCGGTACTATCCAATCAACGAGAGCCGTACACCCGACTTCCTTGCATTTGGGGAAAAGACGTGGACGATGTACGCAGCACAGGGTAAACACTCGTGTGTCCTCGAGCTCTGAGGGAGGGACGGAGCTAACTGTCAGAGAGAGAGAGAGAGAGAGAGAGAGAGAGAGAGAGAGAGAGAGAGCGAACAAGCGAATGAGAAAGAAGGCATGCAACACTGCTTTGCACTGTAATACTGGATTGTACTTCAACTGGAGCGGTTTGGCAGGTTTAAACACATCAAAACAGAACAAAGAGACAGACTTTACAGCACCATAAAAGAATCTGCAAAAGAAAAGAAATAAAGGAACGGAGCAAGTGAAATCGCTGCGGCTAAATAACAAAAGAATTGAGGAAGAACCACGTTTAATATTTTTCTACTCGACAACGGAACATACGATTGGACTTAATATTTTTAAGGGCACATTACAACTTCTTCAAGCGCCAGAACTTTTTTTTTTGTGCGGGACAAAGTTTTTGAAACAATTTTTCATTTTTTTTTCTTTGTTTTTAAATAGAAAATACTACAGATTGAAGGGACTGTTTGACTTCCGAGGGGGTTTTCAACGCTGACATAAAACTGGAATGTATCGTTTTAATCATTCATATGTTCCAAATATATGAATGCGCAAAATATCCAAGAGACGGATTTCGTCTTTCTCTTTGCTTTTTGTTGATGGTGTTTGCCAAAACACAAGCCAGACTTTTAAAGTTTGAATAATTCATGAGATATAATTTGCCTGCATTAAAAAAGTTTCTTCAAAAAGGGAGGGGGTGATCGGCAAACATATTCATAAGGTTAGCGGAATGGCCACAGCGGCATCCAACCCTTATCTATCCAGCAGTATATTATCGTCCGGGTCGATCGTGCACTCGGACTCCGGGGGTGGGATGCAGCAGGGCAGTGCTGCGGTAACATCAGTGTCCGGTGGGTACAGAGGAGACCCAACGGTGAAAATGGTACAAAGTGATTTTATGCAGGGCGCAATGGCAGCGAGCAACGGGGGACATATGCTAAGCCACGCTCACCAGTGGGTGACGTCCTTGCCTCACGCGGCAGCGGCGGCTGCGGCTGCCGCAGTTGCTGCAGCTGAAGCCGGATCTCCATGGTCGTCTAGTCCCGTTGGAATGACAGGCAGCCCGCAACAGCAGCAGGACGTGAAAAATAACTCGGGGAGAGACGATTTGCACTCTGGGACTGCGCTGCATCACAGGCCCCCACATTTAGGTCCCCACCAGACTCACGCGGGTGCCTGGGGTAGCACAACCGCTGCCCACATCCCGTCTCTAACCGGGAGCCAGCAGCAGCAGCAGTCCCTCATATACTCGCAGCCTGGTGGCTTCACGGTAAACGGCATGCTCAGTCCGCCGGGCAGCCAAAGCCTAGTACACCCGGGTCTGGTGCGTGGCGACACCCCGGAGCTCGATCACAACAGCCACCACCACCACCATCACCACCAGCATCAACATCACCAGCAAGCACACCATGGAGTGAACAGCCACGACCCGCACTCCGACGAGGACACGCCGACGTCGGACGACTTAGAGCACTTTGCCAAGCAGTTCAAACAACGCCGGATCAAACTGGGCTTCACGCAAGCGGACGTGGGCTTGGCGTTGGGCACTCTGTACGGGAACGTCTTCTCGCAGACCACAATCTGTCGCTTCGAAGCTCTGCAGCTCAGCTTTAAGAACATGTGCAAGCTGAAGCCGTTGCTTAACAAATGGCTGGAGGAAGCAGACTCTTCCACGGGCAGTCCCACCAGCATCGACAAGATAGCGGCTCAGGGCAGGAAGCGCAAGAAGCGCACCTCCATCGAAGTGAGCGTCAAAGGTGCGTTGGAGAGCCACTTCTTGAAATGTCCCAAGCCTTCGGCCCAAGAGATAACCAGTCTAGCGGACAACCTTCAGCTGGAGAAAGAGGTGGTGAGAGTTTGGTTTTGCAATCGGAGACAGAAGGAGAAAAGGATGACGCCCCCAGGAGTGCCGCAGACGCCGGAGGATGTATATTCTCAGGTCGGCAATGTGAGTGCAGATACACCGCCCCCCTCCATGGACTGCAAACGAATGTTCAGTGAGACATAGAACAGCATACAAGACTAAAAAATATTTTATATAAATGACTAATCTGATAAAACACAGACTATCATGAAGATAGCAAAGCATTTTGATACTGTGATTGTGAGGGAATATTGAGACTGCAGATGTGTTATATATTTTTTTCACAAGAAAAAAAATCACCCCTCTTCCTTCCCAAACCCTAAACCGCCCGCTAATCTTCTTCCAGGCCCTTAAATGTCTTTACCTAAAAGGTTTTGTCTGCTCTTTCTTTCAGGGACATTTTTTAGTAGATTACTTAAAAGATGCAAGTTTAACTGGGCCGAGCGAACCGGGCGACCAGAGGGTGACAACTACAAGTTCTTTCCACCAGGTAATTTTGGCGCATTAACTTCAACTGAAAAATATGAGAGATTAGAAATGAACATCAAAAATCTGTGCCCCCCCCTACCCTGTTACACCAATGTCTTGTTTGAGAGGCAAAAGACGCAGGCAATTGTGTATGTTGTTATGGGACATTAAACCTCAAACAAAGGGATGAAATTCAACTGAAACAATGCGAAGAACAGTGGCATCCACGAAGCTTCCATCCAACTTGGCAGAGAAGACTGCATGGTTTTGTTATTATCCAAAAATATGGAATGGATTTTTTTTCCTGGCCTTCCAATCCTTACAAAAACAACAAAAGACTGCCCTCAGTTTCTGATCTCCAAGATAAACGTCTTTTTGAAATATCTTTTTTTTTTTTTATGTAAAGAACTGAATCTTACGTGGATTTTTGAGGACAAAATGAAATCAAAGATGACTTTTGAAAAGACTGATTATTCCACAGCTGCACCTCTTTGAAAATCTTCTTTGCGAACATCCGTTGCCAAGTGGGCCAGAGCTGGTGCTGTGGATGTTTTCATGTGCTGCCATTTCCAAGCAGTATTCTTTGGTAGGTTTTAATAAACAAGACTATGTAAATCCGGCAATATAGATTCATTAGATCAGATGCTGATCGGAATTATTTACTTAATATTTTTCATTAAAATGCTTTGTTTTAATATTTTATTCGGGATACATACGAACTATTCCAAACAGTTATTTATTTCCCCCAGACTTGTGTAAAATGTTTTTCCCCCCTGTTTTCGTTGTTGACCTTATTTGTTTTGTTTAATTTTGTATTCTCATTTTTAAAAGAGCACAAATCTACACGAGCTGACTTTGACAGTAGGAAATAAGGGTATATTTTGATGTGATGATTTGATTGTAATTTAATTTCAGTAGTGATTCCGTAAGAGATGATCGAGAACAATAAATTTGTTAGAATGAAACAAGATTGTGTGTTGTGCCTAAAATCGTAGCTGTTTGTATTTTTTAGGATGCTCTCAGAGCAGTATTTAGCCAAATGCATTTTAAAATGATGACTGCTGAATATTAATGGCCTTATGTTCTGACCTGCAGACTAGAAATAACAAAACAAAACCTTTTTATTTGTATTGCAACAAAATAGAGATGTTTGCTTAAAATACAACCGGCTATATAGGCCTGTTTTACACAATGCATTTAAAAAAGAAGAAGAAAAAAACAGGCCAGTGTAACGTAGCAATAGTTTAGGCCTCTATGGGAAGAATTACGCATTAACTTTTAGCATTTCTAACAATCTCTCCTCTTTGACAAACCAGCAAAAGTGTCACCGCTGTGAGTTATACTTCAATGTAGGATGCAACCATTTTGTTAGCAGGATGAAATGTGTCTCTGTGGCAAGTAATAGAGATAGCAACGTTCAGTAAATCTCACGAGAGAAAGCCCAAAAAAGTTAACCGCTTTTGGAGGTGGAGTGTTTACATGTCACGCGCTTTTTTGTGTACCTGCTTATCAACCAGATCATATTGTTTTTTTGGACATATTTTTATGTAGTGTTTCATGGTCTGCTTTTTCCATCTATCTGTCTATCTATCTATCTATCTATCTATCTATCTATCTAGGCTATATAGAGATAGGCCTATATATTGCAAGAAAAAAAATCAAATATTACACTGTCCCCGTATATCCTTGTAAACTAAAACACGTGTTTACAGACTTGCACAGCTACGAGCTATGCATACCTTTTTATCGTAGGCCTATGTTTAGCATTCGATCAGTCGATGTGTTTAGGAATAGCTGAATTGTATAACATTTATTTTATAAAGTTCTCAGCAATTGAATTTATAATCAATTTCGCGTTTGCTACATGCATTGTGTGTTGACCTAGCCTATATGTAATTTTATTAGGCTATTATTTTTATTATTATTATTTCCCGATTGTCGCAAACACCAGCTTATGCTACAGAATCTCTGTTTTGCTTGTTAAAATAAACCAGAATAGGCCTTCCTAATTTCACAACAGATTGCATATGCCCTCCAGACTTACAAATAGGCCTGTAAAATAAGTCATGCCGTAAACTTTAGCCGGTATAAACCTGTCATAAACTGACTTCATGTTATATACCAAACATTATTCATGTAAGCCAAATATTGGAGATTAAATTATCCTGAGCTAGGCCTCATAAATAAAACGGACGAAGTGTTTCGTAAGCGGGCGAAAACGACATGTGATCGCTTCAACTTTTTCTTAGGATGACTATTCAGCAAAACGCGCAATTCCCTCTCTCTCTCCAAGATTTAAATTTCGCGGATGAATTCCCATACACTAGTTGCTTAGCAACTAAATTCAATCAATGTTATAGAAGTATGTATCCCTTCTCTTTGTCCCCAAATAATAAGGGTGCTAGTCTGACATTCAGACTGATTTTGTATGACCCGAGTTAAAGAAATGCTGTCATTGAGAAGTAGGTTAAATTTAATCATAATTAAAATTTAGAGGGGAATAATGTTGGGGGGGGGGGGGGGGGGGGGGTATTTAAATTTAAAGATTTAAATATAGAGTTGTTTCCAGTATTGTTAATTAAACATTTGAAAGGAATATCTCTAAACAAAAAAAAACTAAAGAAAAACAACAACCGATATTTCTGTAGGCTATATAGGGAAGCCTGGAATATGTTCAGCAAGCAGATAACATAAACTGCACTAACTCCATAGCCTATATGTCACATGACTTTCGACCCACGTGCTCAGATCTATCCCTTGCTGATAAAATACTAGCAAGAACTGCTATGAACATTTAAAAAAATAAAAAATAAAATTACAGTCCGAACCGTTCTACCTCAAAAAGTATTTGGATTTTAAATGCAGCTCAAATTATTGTTAGCCTTTTAGTTTTGTAGCAATAATGTTGGCCCTTCATAAATAATCGATCAGTGCTCGTACACGTGCAGGCTGCAGCCACATTTAAAATATTTCTACCCCCCACGTTTTAGCCCAAATAACATTTATTTTATTGCATTTATTCTTTCTTTCCAAACCTTCAAGAGAAACAATATGTCACTGTCAAATAGGTAACCAATAACTCTTAACCTGAAATAAGTAGCACTAATATAGTTTTTGTATTTGTAACAGTAATATTGCCTATAACTTTTGATAAGAAGCTTCATGCGTTAACGTGACCATTGTCTAAAAAAAGTCTTGAGAAATTCAGAATATGGCCTACCTCGATAATACCAAACGCTAACGTGTCACACGCCATAAACTTTTCAAGAACTCACAACGAAAACAACTAAATCAGTGAGGCAATATATAAACAATAGTCTATATATTAAATAATCTATTAATAATAATAGAGTGGATGGCATTGCACATGGAATTATGTTTGCAGTGAAGGCTACTATCATAAAGAATTGCTATAGTTTTCTAAATAGCTATTCATAAATGTAGGCTAATTTAGGGCCATTACAACTTGTCAAACGATTTTTAACGCTATAGTAATTTTTAACAGGATAACGAAATTCCAGTTTGAACATCACTCAGAATATCCCAGCCAACATGATATTTTATACAGAATGAACAACGTGGCCAACCGAACGAACGAACACAAACAGTTATTTTGATCAGTGTTCAAAAAGTTAATGTTCATGTTATCGATGAGGTTTTCGCTCTTGATTGTTTACTATATCTTTATACGAACATGCCAGACTTTTCGAGTTTAATTTTTTGTTGTTGCTATTGTTTTTTGTCTCTTAACCCCTCGTGCTGTGCGTGTGCACATGCATAATGCTCTTACATAGGACATTTCTCAGTGGGGAGACGTCCTCCACACCGCCTTTGTTAATCCATGTTCTATTGTCATATTGCTAATAAGCAGCAGATATTGTTGTATCTTTTAAACATCTGTATTGCTCTAATCCAAAATCACAGCATTTTGGTCATCTTGGCATAATTCTTTGTTTTTAAATAAGTCATTTGCCTTTATTTACAAATTGTATCGAATTACACAATTATTATTTCCCTGTGAAATGTTTTTGCTCCTGGATGTATAGACGTATTTTGATTATCTTAATTGGACTATTATTAGTGGTTAAAAAGTACTTCTCTAAATAGCCGGTCACTTAACTTTGAACGAGGAAAAGTTAGAAACGCGCATGTGGTCTTTCACAGATTTAGGAATTCTGCGTATAGTAGCCTAGGCTATTTCTTATTGTTGTAATTTATTTACATATATCTATTTTGCATAGGCTACTCCTTACAGAGGGAAAGTGTGTAATATTAAGGCAGAACATTTGTAACGATATAATGATGATGATAATAATAATAATAATAATAAGAATTATTATTATTATAATAAGACAGCTTGGTTTTTCCAAGGTAACAGCTGTATTTGCTTAAACTATCTTCGGATTAAAACGTAGGCCTATATATAGTTTATTTAAAATGGTTTTCAGAGCACACAGGCTCAACTCAGCCACCGTGCAGTTTAGACTAACTCAGAACTCTATGGAAGTCCCCAGTTGTGCTGTCTGGAGGACCAGCACTCCCAGTCACTCTCTCCCTCTGGAGACGCACTGTAAACGCCGTTCATGTTCAGCGGGTGCAGGTGCTACTCCCCGCAAACCAGAGGTTACATTTCCATCAAATCCCTCCTGAAGTCATGTGAAACAATATCCAGACAAATGTACTCAATGCTCAAGCCACTAGGCCACGCATGTAGGCTAGTGTCTTTATTGTTAACTTGCTGTAATTTACTATATATTGTATGTACACATAATATATATTTACACTTAATTTTATTATCAGTGCATTTTATTCTATTGGCGTTATTCTGTATTAGATCAATTTAATATTATTAAGAAGCAGTAGGCCCTATTTTCCCCTCCTTGCTGTATAGTAACGATTTGCTTTACTTGTATGACGTCTCATTGAGATCCCAGTCTGTTTAGACAGAATATTGTGCAGACTTAGCTGCTGTCACTTGGGTCCCTAGTGGTGTCTAATGAGTTCTTACGTGCTGAGTGCTATGCCGTAAATGAATGATAATCCAGCACAAATACGTAAATAAAAATGTATAGGCTCTATTCATAAATAGCACTGAGGACAACATTCAAAAATCGTGGTAAGACTGGACCATCCGTACCACTGGTGAAACTGATCGCTCCGGATCATATGCCCAAGCGGTATGCAGTGCGCGCTGGGCACCGCGTGCCCAAGAGAGCGAGAATAGAGCTTAATGAAATATGTATGCAGAGTGACGTGACGTGTGGGGTTTCCTTTCTATAGAATGAGAAGTTCAAGGAGCTGTGCTTTGAGGGACAGACAAGAAGACGGACAGGTGAGGGAAAGGGCCACTGAACTAGGGTTGAGTGTAGGCTATTTGAATTAGGCTACTTAAAATAACCTCCAACCAGTTCATAAACTGTTTGGCGACAATTAACAGGAAGACCCTAAAAGGTTTCTAATATAGAATACATAAGAATATATTTAGTAACAACAAAGCGCCTTTAATAATAATAATACAATAATAATAATAATTATTATTATGATTTATTTGCAAATAAATGTATCTAGATTACATTAATCTACACACACACACACACACATGTATATATATATATATATATATATATATATATAGGCCTATATATATATATCATTCTAACATTTAATGTAATAGGCTAGCATTGGCTAGAATGAGCTAAAGGGTTCTATAGCCTGTACGTTTGGTATACTCGACTATTCTAAAAAGACTATAGGCCTACAGTTTTTTTTACATAAAATGTCAACAAAAATGTATAAAATCATTAGTAGTAGACTAGTAGTTTTAAAAATATTTAAAAAACAATAATAATATGTGGCATACAGTATGGCTATTGATTGATTACAAAACTCAAGACGTGTTTGTTCTCCGTCCTATAGGAAATATCTATGATGTTGGGAAAATAATTTTGTGGGCTGACTACTAACAAAC